TCCACCATCAGGAGCTCTGATGAACACCGGTTGGTACTTAGACTCCGCACCTCGGGTGATCCCACTCCTCCACCACAGGGACCTGCCTGTGTACCTATCCTGCTGGTTTCAGGTGAGCCTTTCCATTGCTATAGCTGCTGGTCTTCGAGCCTGACCCCTGATCGTGACAGGTGCATAGAAAGATATGATGGAAAAGAGATCGGTTGACTGATTAGTCTGGGAGATTTTCCTGCAGGCTGGAATATGTCTGTGTTCCCTACATTATCTGTAAGGACACAACATTGCTCCGGTCTGATAGATATATAATAAAATCATCCAATTAGGATGTGTGTACTTACTGTTTCCTCCATTAAAGGGGATGGTGCTTTCCCTTCCTCTAGTTCTTCCCAGTTAATGGATTCCAAAAAGATATGGGACCTGATGTCTTCCCTGTTCCCCAGTTTTTCTCCGGATATCTGCAAAGCAGCTATAAAAAATGAACAGTTATCTATGATGACTTGTGTATATGGGTAATAAAAGTTACTTCACTTGGCTCTAGATAGTTTAGGAAAGAACTCTGACTACTGTGCTTCTCCTCCTGGGCGTTCCTATCCAGCCCAATAGAGCATAACTGAAACTTTACCATGGGACAGCAAAGCCAAACTACCCAGTGGTCAAGCCGATGACCAAACTTGTGAGCAAACCAACATTATACCCATAGAGCAGCAGCAGTAGGCCCAGAAGCCTTTCCTGTGGCTGTTTAGAGTTTTAAAAAAGTCTACTTACTCCTTCTATGAAGTCCTCCAGTCTGAGTCCATGTCAAGAGGATAATCCGGATGGCTGAAGTTCACCTTTCTCCTGTATTGATCAAAGCTCCTGCTCTTAAATGGCAGATAATTTGTGGTCAAGATGTAGGTAATGACTGCCAGTGAAAACCAGTCAGGTTTTCAAACTGGTAAAAGTCATTGTTGATGACCTCTGCAGCCATGAATCCAGTGGTCGCAGCCACGCCAGTGGTTTTATCTTCCCACAGACCGTATATTGCCAATCCATAATCAGCAATGCGGACATGTCCTTTTCCATCCACTAGGATGTTATCGGGCTTGAGGTCCCTGCAAAGAGAAAGACTGTAAGTGTCATCTTCTGGCACATGTCATCTGAAACAGATTGGAGAATAACTTTACCGCCAACTGATATTTCAATTATAGGTGGCTACTAGTGAAAGAAGTTTTTCATTAGCATCTTACATCAGTTGTTTGGAAAAGTAGGAAGACATTGGGTACTCATGTACAGTATATGGTCTACAATTGAATAGAATATAATTTGTTACCTATGCAGGATGCCCTGACTGTGAAGAAACTCCAGTCCACACGATGTTGCCGCCACAAAAAATCTGTAAAAGAGAAAAACATTTTAGATTTGAACAAAATGACATTTAAAAGAAATTACATTCAGATAGAAGCATAACCCATGGGCAGAGGGAGGCAGGTACAGGAAAAGGCTAGTCCAGTCCAGTAACAGTGCTACCTGAGACAGGTGCAATTCCTGGTGCAGTTCTTACCAAGATCCCAAATTCAAAAGTCTACTGTGAAATCCCACCTATAGGATCCAGTCTGCCCCATTTTAAAGAATAGGCACCTCCAACACTGCCCCTGTCATGCTTCTGTCTGAATGCACATGCACACTCCTGTCACATGTGCAATCACTGCCTGCTATGGTAAAAACTATGTGTGAGAGCAGTGGTTAGGCTTTCCAAGCTGCTGCCAGCATTGGGCATTCAGAACCTTGCTGCAGCACTGAGTATGTAAAAGAAAAATAGAAAGAAGAGCATATTTATTACACTATTTACAACCTGACTGCATTATAGTAAGAAATACAAAGGCTTTAAATGGACTTTAGAATTAAAAAGCTTACAAAGCTTGATTTCTTTTCTATTCTGAACTTAGTGATGAGACTTACTTGATGATGTGACTATCCACTGGGACATAGTCGCAGGTGAAATCCCCTAAACTACCTCCGCAGACGTATTCCATCACAAAACAGGCGGTGAAGTGGGTTTGGAAGGCGGCATAGAGCTGAATTACAAAGGAGCATCCTTCCGACTTCTCCAGGGCGTGGCGTTCGATTTCAAGGTTGTCTGTGTTTTTAGTCTTAATGATGGACTTGATGGCCACCTTCTGCTGGCTCTTTCGGTGTGTAGCTAGATCAACCTAAATGAGAGAGAAGATAACAATTAGTGGGGTCTTTGGTATTGAAAGGGTGTTCAGGACTGGGGCTGGGGGTAACTAGCATTGGCTATGAATCAGAAGTAGTTTTAGGTGAAGAGTGTAGGGTTCAATCACAGTCTGTCTTCCTCTTTTTCTGGCAGTGAGACCTATCTGCTTTTGTGTTCTCTAGTCCTTCAAATTTCCTTCTTGATGTTTTTCTGCTGCACTCTTTATCATACTAAAGAATAGAAAAGTGAGACCACATGATAGCAGAGGACCTCATGGAACTGGATTTCAGAAGAAGGCAATGGGGGATGGTTTAGTCTATCAGCAGTTGAAGACATTTTTGATGGTTGGTATATGATGTCTCAGTGAGGGATTTGTTTTGTGGGTGGAGCTACTAATCTAAGTAACAGGGGAGTAAATGAGCACTTACCCTTCCAAAGCTTCCTTCTTCAAACACATTATGCAATGTGAAGCTTGACAGAGTTATTCTTCTGTCATAGCTTGGTGAGGTGTTAAGGGTTCCAGCCTCAGCCTAGGCAGGATGGGAAGAACTGCAAGGTCCTGAAAGGATATTTTCTGTGCCCAGGTTGATGTTGTCGGTTCCATCTTCAGCTGGATATGCAGGGCTGCAGTGCCCTGAAGGTGCTGAGGCAACCTCCATGGTGTTGGAGGTGCTGATGGTAGTCCCAGCCTTAGCCAAGGTGGGACTGAAAGGGCTTTGATACCCTGAGGGTTTTAGAGATGCCTGATAGTGGTCATCATCTCCAGATAGAGAATTGGTGTCAATCACCTCATCCAAGGTGAGACAGGAAGGGCTGCAAAGCCCTGAAATGACACTGATGCTCAGGTTGGTGTCGTCAACTTCAGGCTCAGTTGGATATGCAGGGCTGCAATGCCTTGAAGGTATTGAGGAAACCTCCACCAGGTTGGAGGTGCCGATATTAGTCCCAGCCTTAGCTAAAGTGGGGCTGGCAGGGCTCTGACACCCTGAGGGTTTTGGAGATGACTGGTGGTGGTCATCATCTCCAGATACAGAATTAGTGTAAATCACCTCAGCCGAGGTGAGACAGGAAGGGCTGTAAAGCCCTGAAATAACACTGATGCTCAGGCAGGTGTCATCAGTTTCAGCCTCAGTTGGATATGCAGGGCTGCAATGCCCTGAAGGTAAACCTCCATGAGGTTGGAGGTGCTGATGTTGGTCCCAGCCTTAGTCAAGGTGGGACTGGCAGTGCTATGACAACCTGAGGGTTTTAGTGATGACTGGTGGTAATAGTCATCATCATGATGATCTCTGGCCCCGGTGAAGTCTAAAGCAACCCCCCATGGCTGAAATAGCAGAAACTCTAGCGAAAAACAAGGAGCAGAAAAAAAGCGATGCTTCCCCTGAACCTCTCATAGCTAGAATGAGCTCCCACACTGAGCTGCTCAGCTATTTAAAGCCGGAATATGTGATTCCAAAGTTTCAGATTTTTTAACCGTTTGATCTCTGGAAGGTTTTAACCCCCTTTCATAACCAGGGCATTTTTGATATTATTAGCGTGCTTCTTTAAAAAAAATTTAATTCACATTCTAAAAGGTAAACAACCTTGTTGCCTTAGCAACCAGTTTGCAAACCTGAGCTGTAAAACACACAACAGGAAGCTATCTATTTTACAGCTCAGATTTGTAAACAAACTGATTGCTAAGGCAACAAGATTGTTTACCTTACATTTGTGTGCACCTAAGAAATGGCGACAAACTTACCGTATAATTTCTATAGGCGAGGCTTCAAAAGCCCCTATAGGCCATCAGTTTAGCGTCATGGAGGAGGTCTTGTGCTAGAATTATTACTCGCACTTCTGCGTGTGCGGCGATATGAAATGTTTATCACAATCAACATTTTCACACGTAGGCTCCCTGATGTGTGCGTTTAGGTTAGTACGTGCATATATGTGGAGGTAAGGAGCCTCAACATTTTTTGGGGGGGATATTATGTGCTTGGGTGTAACTATTTTTTTTGCAATATAAACTAAATTTTTACTTAACTTTTTTTTTTAGTACATAGTGGACACAAAGTTGTAATGATTTTTAGGTGACAGGCTATCTTTAGCCCCTTGCCCACCGGCCACGTCTACCGCCTTCCTGCCCAGGCTAATTTTCACCTTTCAACGCTATCGCGCTTTGAATGATAATTGCGCGGTCATGCAACACTGTTCCCATATGACATTTTTATCATTTTTTTCACACAAATAGAGCTTTCTTTTGGTGGTATTTAATTGCCGCTGGGTGTTTTATTTTTTGCACTATAAAAAAAGGAGCAAAAAAATTAAAAAAAAAAAGATTTTCCTTGTTTCAAATTTTGCAAACAGGTAAATTTTCTCCTTCACTGATGTGTACTGATAGGCGGCACTGATGGGCACAGATAGGCGGCTCTGATGAGCTGGCACTGATGAGGCAGCACTGATAATACTTCACTGATATGCAACAATGATGGGCACTGATAGGAGGCACTGATGGGCACAGATAGGCGGCACTGATGAGCTGGCACTGATGAGGCAGCACTGATAATTCTTCACTGATATGCAACAATGATGGGCACTGATAGGAGGCACTGATGGGCACAGATAGGCGGCACTGATGAGCTGGCACTGATAATACTGCACTGATATGCAACAATAATGGTCACTGATAGAAGGCACTGATGGGCACAGATAGGCGGCACTGATGAGCTGGCACTGATAATGCTGCACTGATATGCAACAATGATGGGCACTGATAGGAGGCACTGATGAGCTGGCACTGATAATGCTGCACTGATATGCAACAATGATGGGCACTGATAGGAGGCACTGATGGGCACTGATAGGCAGCACTGATGGGCACTGATGGGTGGCACTGACTGCCGGCACTTACTGGTGGCACTGCTGGGCACTGACTGGCGGCACTGATGGGCACAGGCGGGTGGCACTACTAGGCACTGATGGGCACAGGTGGGCGGCACTGGTGGGTGACATTGATCATCAGTGCCCTGATCATCAGTGCCGATCCGTCCTCTGACAATTGCGGTCATCGGCAGTACTTTCTTCACGCTGTTACAGCATGAGGTAAGTGCAGCCGATAACCGGCAACTGTATTTACCGGAGATCTGCTGTGTCATTGGACACAGCTGATCACGTGGTAAAAGGCTGCTGTGATTGGCCTTTTACCACATCACGTGATTAGCTGTGTCTGTAGATCACAGCGATCAAGGAGATTGCCGGGGCGTGCCCCGGGGGGCCCGCGGGAGGGCGTGTTCTGGGAGGACGTCATATGATGCCCTCCCAGGACTGGACAACCGCACTGTAGCTGTCATTTGGCTATAGCGTGGTTGACAAGTGGTTAATGAGACATGCAGAGTCTAAAAGACCCTGCATGTCTCCTCTGGGCTCCACTGGATGTATCACAATACATATCACATACACGTCGCCTTCCAGGTCACAGAAAGAAGGGGAGGAGCGCGGACGCTCTTCCGCTCTTCTCTCTTCCCTCCGGTACCTGCCGTGGTGCTCCCCGAGCCCGCAGATGGGCAAGCGGAGCGCGGATACATGGTGGGAGCGGGCAGGGGGCATCATTATTGGGGGCTCTGGAAGCGATAGAGAGGCAACATAGCTGCCCGCATGCTTTCACCCAGAGGCGGACTGACAACTCATGGGCCCCCAGGCAATAGGGGATCATGGGGCCCCTGTGTCCTTGCCCAAACTCAAAAAAGCCTATGAAAAAGGTACCGGGGAATCTCATGGGGCCCCCTACTGACCCTGGGCCCTCGGGCAGTGCCCGAGTTTCCAAATGGTAGCGCCCCTGCTTCCACCTGAAGGGCAGTCTGCGCCTGTCAGTTTTTATACATAATCCCGGTGGCTGCAGCCAGAATCACCAGGAATTTGCTCTGCTCAGGTGTGAATGTAGGCTAAGGCCCTATTCACAGTATGACGTGCGATGATGCATTTTGTGTGCTTTAGTCATGCTACATGAGTGGGCTCATTTCAATGGGCTTCCCTATGTGCGACAAACGGTCCTAAGTAACTCATGAAGCTTCGCACAGTTTTTGATGCATTTGTCCAAGCGTAAAAATGTGCATCTGCTTGTCACATTTGGGGTGCAAACAAAATTGCATGGGACCTAGGTTGCCAACCATCTGTAAATTACGGACAGTTTGTAAATTGTTTGTAAAGGCTCATCCCCAGTAGACTTTATTGGGCTTTGCCGAAAAATCTAAATTCGATAAAATTTGCCCATCACTAGTAGGACATAAAAAATACACCTGTATTTACGCAATGGCCAATAAATTACATATAAAGAAAGCTAAGAGCTAAGAAGTCTACATTAATTGGAAGGTCATAACTCAATGTAGAGAGCGGAATAGAATATGTGTCTGTGATAAAGGGTCAGTGTTCTATGAAATGTTATACTCAAGCCTTATTTTGTCCTTGTTATCTGCTCTCACAATCCTATTGTCTCTCTTTATTTTCCTACATGGTGGATTATAACTGATCTTTCTTTTTGTACATGTATATGAATTGTGGTGTTGAAAGCATATTAATATAGAAAGGTGCCTATGGTCGTTATATTTGTCTGATTTGCAGTCATCTAATTATAGGTCACGCGGGTAAATGTATTTTCCCAGAAACTTGCATCTGTTTTTCCCACCCACCCCAAAACACAGAAAATCTGTCAGGGCTCCCAGGTGTGACCAGAGGTATGTGGCTGACGCAGGGAAACGCAGACCTCAGATATGTTATAAACAATATAATTTATTAACACTAACAATACAAACATAAACGCAGTGCAATACTAAAACATAATACAGTGCAACCAAACCAAACCAAACCAACCACCCACAGATAACAGTACATACAAGCAAGCGTCGTCAGGCAGGCCGGGTCAATATCAATAGGGCAGGTAGGTACAGGGGGAGCAAGCGGAGATGGTGGTCAGGGGTCACAGGCCAGGTTCAGCAGGTAGCAAGCAGCGTAGTACAGAGGGTAAGGCAGAGGGATGGTCAGGGTCACAAGCCAGGGATCAGAACAGGTAGCAAGCAGCGTAGTACAGAGGGTCAGGCAGAGGGATGGTCAACAAGCCAGGATCAGAGCAGGGTCAGCAGAGAATCAGACAGGAACAGAGAGCAGGAACAGGATACAGGGCCCAAGAGAACACAACACCAAGGCAGAGTCTGCAAGTCTGGCCATCCCTTAATTACCCCAGCATAATCAGTTCCAGGTGTTAGCTGGCTGCAAAGTTGAGTCTGTCTGCTGATTGCTGGGAGCACCCGGCTGGCCAGAGGTACTGCAGATCAAAAGGCAGGTAAGTCCCACCATTGCTGGCTAGTCCATTCCTGGCTAGTCCATTCCTGACAAAATCGTCTATGTAGCACTATCCGCTTAGGGGCAGCTGAATTTGAATGGGTCCCCCTATGCTCTGCACGGTCAGGCAACACACATTTCCCACACTTTGCACACTTGAATCAGTAAATAGTCCTTGAGCTTGGTTTTGTGATTTTATTAAGGGGTAAATATGGATGGGGTCTAGGGGTATATGGGATGCCTGAGGAGCTGTATAACTTGGAGGACAACTCCTTAGCAACTGTGTACAAAACTGTAGATTAGCAATAGTCTCTCTTTAAGGAGCACTAAACCCCTTTGGTGTACCTCCTCTTCACCCAGCTACACAGAGGGTATTCCCTGGGAAAGGGGGGCCAGAAGCTGTCAACTGAACAGTCACAGATAAGAAGCTAGTTGGGTCTTGCACCTGACCACCCTCTCCCCTTATCTGGTCAAGGGGATGTAAGTATACTAACAATGTCCTCTCCTGTTGGCTTAGTGGATCCGTGGTTGCCTTCAGGCTTTACGCTGGGCTGGCTCCTACACAGGCTGTCCTCTCCAGGAGACGTTGAGACAGTGGAGATCCTCTTCTTCAGTGACCTGCCTGTAGGTAGGCTCCCCTCCCTGGGACCCCCTACCAGGCTCCTCACTCCAGCCTTCCTCAATCCATCTTCAACCTGACACTGCACATTATTCCCCAGGATTTCTGATATTTGAGGGTTGCCTTGGTCACCATGCCTAGCCTCCTGCATGGGATTGGGGCCAAAGTCCCTCAAACATGCAGATCTGGGCTTCCTCCCCTCCTCTCCCTTCTCCAGAAAGCTCTCAGTTTATGGAAAGGTGGGAGTGCTCCAGAAGTCCTGACATGTAAGAGCCTCCCAGCCTGTCCTGAGTTGACCTCACTACCTCACTCCCAGGCTAACTCATTCAGTTCACTATTCCCCAGAGAGCCTGGGGAACAGTGTGCAGTGTTGGGTGAACGATGGATTGAGGATGGCTGGAGTGAGGATCCTGGGAAGGGGCCCCAGGGAGGAGAGGGGAGCCCACCTACAGGCTACTCAGCCTCTATATAAAAAAAAAAAACATCCTATCTAGCTAACCTGAAGTGAAGATTGGTTTCGGCCCCCAGCCGGAAAGAGATGCTGAGGCTAGGCAGGAAGGAGTAAGTAATCACTTTTTTAAAAACATATTTTTTACTATATATCAGAAGAGACCAAACATTTAAAAACACTTGTTTCCCTTACTTTATGTTATAAATCATATTGAATAAAAATGCCAGGACAGTACGTACACACCCAGATTGACTCCTTTTTGGAAAGTAAAATTGACGATTGCATTTCATTTGTATGGAAAAGGGGTGCAAAAAACTTTAGGGGTGCAATGGGCATGTTGTGAAGGGAGTCACTTTGGGTGGGGGGCCCATGGAATCCAGCTCACTTTGGAGAGGTGGGGAGACCCCTGTCTCAGCTTCCCATATCCCTCTTATGTGTAAATCACCCTGTGCCTGTTGGGGGGACAGGGTGATCTGTCCTAATATTGTGTGGGCTTTGTCTCAGACTGTGTAGACATGTTTAGGAGATAGGTGGGGTGGGGGGTTGTGGATTGTTTAATGTTATGTGGCTGCATCCCATTGTTCTATTTTTGTCCGGCTTGGGAGCAAACTATTATGGGATGTACATGTGTTTCTGTGCATTAGCTTGGGGGGGGGGTGTCTCCAGCAGCCCTCTCTCCTGATGGGACTGTCTGCTGTTGTGAAGTTTGAATACCTGTCTCTTGTTACTAAGTGTAGATTGCCCCGCCCTGTGTCATTATGCAGGGAGGGGGGATTGTCCCCTGAGTGTATATATCTTCTATCTGCGGTGTTCTAACGGAAGTACTCAAGCGCAGTCTGGGTCAGTTTTACATTGGTGGCAAGCGGTGGGATTGTGCTTCCTGGCTGTAAACACATCTAAACCACCAGCGCGTTTCAAGATCAGGAACGTAGACGTCGGTCACCCCAGTGGAGATATGAACCTGGCATCAGAGTTCCCGGGGCCGCTGCGGATCATTCAGTTCAGTAAGCAAAATTGAGAGTTCCCTAAATCAATGTAGCAAAGATCACTCCACTCATGCCTACTGCTCCTGGAACATGATTGTTCAACCAGAGAATGGCAATCATTGTCTTGTGCCTATCAGTGGCCTATATAGGGTATGACAGTCAGGGCCTGTGTGCCGCACCACCCAGGGACAGTGGCATTGTTTACCCCTTTGGTTAATCTGTGCCCCATTCAGATTTCCCATCAGTGTCAACCTGCAATCACAAACAACGCAGCAGATCGCAGCAAGGGAAGAGTCGTGTGAGCGTTTCTCTGCCCCAGTTGCTTGTTTACATATGACAGCAATGATCAGCTCAGCTGTCTGTCACTGCAGGTCCGCACCGACAGGAGGTCTGAATAGGGCACGGCTTAATTAAAAAGGCAAACACCTCTCCTCATCCCTGGGGAGACTCAGGACCGATCGGCTTTGGTGCCACTGCAGTCAATGCCAGTCTATCTTGATGGAAGTTTGAATGGGGTTTGGATCATTCTATTACGCTGAAAAAATATCTCAGCCTGTACACTGCGTATGCCATGTTGTTCATTCCCTGTTCCGCTCTGGCTCATTCCATATACTATTTGTTCTCTATTAGACACTGTTCTTCTTCCGTATACCATGCTGTATATATCCTATGCCACACACTGCCCATTCCGTATACCATGCTGTACATTCCCTATACCACACTGCCTCATTGTATATGCCAAGCTGTACATTCCCTATACCACACTGCCTCATTGTATATGCCAAGCTGTACATTCCCTATACCACACTGCCTCATTGTATATGCCATGCTACACATTCCCTACTCCATGTTACCTCATTGTACCCAAATCATTCTATGCCATACTGTACATTCCCTATTCCACACTGCCTCATTCTATGTGCCATGCTGAAAATTCCCTACTCCATGTTGCCTCATTCTATATGCCATGCTGTACGTTCCCTATTACGCTCCACCTCATTCTATATGCTATGCTCTCTATTCCACATCTCCTTATTCTATATGCCATGCAGCACATTCCCTATTCCACTTTGCCTTATTTTATATGCCATGCTGCACATTCCCTATTCGACGTCGCTTCATTCTATATGCCATGCTGCACATTCCCTATTCAACATCACTTCATTCTATATGCCATGCTGCACATTGCCCATTCGACGTTGCTTCATTCTATATGCCATGCTGCACATTCCCTATTCCACGTCGTCTCATCATTCTATATGCCATGCTGCACATTCCCTATTCCACGTCACCTCATCATTCTATATGCCATGCTGCACATTCCCTATTCGACATCGCTTCATTCTATATGCCATGCTGCACATTGCCCATTCGACGTTGCTTCATTCTATATGCCATGCTGCACATTCCCTATTCCACGTCACCTCATCATTCTATATGCCATGCTGCACATTCCCTATTC